CGGTCCCCCCAGCCGAGACCTCAGCCCCTCGGGCCTCGACTCCCTGCTCAGTCCCACCTCTTTTCTCAGGGCCGGCCAGCTGTGCAGGAAGCTGTCCCTGAGAGGCACAGCCTTTGCAGCCAGTCTCAGGCAAGTCACCACGGCCCCGGGGCCTGCACGCTGGCCGGCCAGCACTCACGCCACATCCCGGAGCGTGCTGCGCAGCTCGCGGCCCAGGTTCCGGATGTACGCCCACTGCCCCTCCTGCACTGGCTGCCCCGTCAGGTGCACGTTGTCCACCGTCAGCTGCGCCTCGTCAAACAGCCACTGCACCACGAACACTGGACCTGGGGGCAGGGCTGTGCTCGGCCTCAGGCGCTCGGCCTGCTGCCCTCCTGCAGAGGGGCACCCCCTTCCCTAAGCCTTCCTTGAAGAGACTGTCGTTGACCACACCGTGGCCTGACTCCTAAGACTGCACTTTGGCCAAAATGCAAAATGAGACTTCATAACCCAGGACATGAGGCTGGGACCATGGTGGGGTGAGGGTCTGGTGCTAAACCAGGAAAGTCCACAGGCGGCTGCCAGGTCCCCCGGTGCAGGTATGACTCCTGCTCGGGCAGGGCAGCAGAGGCCTTGGCAATTTCCAGGGAGTGGCAGGTTGTCTGGGCGTCCCCTCACCCGAGTGCCCCAATCCTGGCCAGCCACTCACAGCGCAGGGTCGGGTAGACCTTGTAGCCAAAGAAGCAGTTCCACTCCTCGCCCTCCTTGAACTGGCGCCGACAGCGCTCCGGGACCACCCCGTTCCAGTACCTGGGACCACAGGCCGGTCAAGCTGCAGCATCTGGAGGCGCTCCTCCCCCCAGCCCTTCTGCCCAGGGCGCACTCGGGCACCTGAGCCCGCGGCGGATGGCCTCCGTGGGCGCACAGGTGGTGGCGTCCACACAGTCCGTGCCCAGGTACTGCTGGTTGTCCAGGAACCAGCCCGAGTCGGCCAGGCCCCGCACGCGGATAGCTGGGTAGCCCAGGCCTGCCAGCTGCTCGGCCACGCGGTCCACATTCAGAAGCACCCCGGTGCCCCCAGCACTGTGGGGAGGCGGGCAGTGAGGCCAGGCCCAGGGTGCCCTCCCCAGCCAGCCCAGTCCCCAGCCCATGCCCTGTGCCATCTGGACTAGCCATGGCCCCTGTTCCCGTGGGAGACCCGGGCCTGTCCAGGCCCTGGAGGGGGAAAAGCCAGGCCAGGGCACATGGTCCCTGCAGGGAGTCAGGCTCTCCCTCTCCTTTCACTGCCTCAGCTCCCTGATCTGGAAATGAAGACGAACCACGTGGCCTCAGTCCAGCCCCATGTGTCCCCAGAGCCTCTTCCTGCTTCCTGGACAGTGACCCAGGGCCTGGAGAAGGGTCTTCAGGACACAGCTGGCCCCTAGCTCACCACCCAGGTCATGGCAACCGATGCCTTCCCCACACCCCACACCCAGGGCCGGAGTGTCTCTGCACTGTCACTCAGCACCTCGAGCACTGAGGCACCCTAAGGACCCGGTTCTCCAGTCCAGCCCCCAAGCCTCCTGGCCCCCTGCCAGAGCCAAGCCAGGCTGTACCAGCAGGTCTCTGAGCGCCAGTGGGCTGGGCTGCCAGGGCTGTGGGGCTCTGCTTCCCTCTCCCTCCCTGCCCACTGCCCCTTCCCCGGCCCCTGCCCTGCCCACCTGCTCCCGGCCAGCAGCAGCACCTTGGCCGCCCCCAGCCCCTTGGTCAGCAGCTCCTGCACCACCTCCTGGATGATGATGGCACCCATGAAGGCATAGGCGTCTGCGAGAGGAGGGGCGGCTTCAGGTGGGGAGGGCAGGGGAGAGGCCCCACCTCCGCTGGCACAAGGAGGGGCGCTGGCTCCTACTGGGGCTGGGGGCCTTTCTGGGGGAGGGGGGCGAGGACTGCGGCAGACTACAGGGAGGCAGGGTCAGGGGTGTGAGACCCAGGGAACACCCAGGATCAGGGACCCTGTGGGGCCAGGCCAGCGGGGCAAGCAGGCGGTGGTGCCCAGGCAGGCCTGCCGGACACGCTGCCCATGGTGGGAGGGAGGCTGGGGACTCACTCTTCTCAGACCTGGGTGACGCCCCACTCCACACGTCGCTGGAGCAGTAGGGGATGAAGCTGCGACACGGGGCCAGGTGAGCCAGCTGTGCCTCACTGCCAGAAGCCCCAAACAGGACCCCAAAAAAGCACCCCCAGAACAGGACTCCCCCAGGCAGGAACACGCTTAGAAAGGAATACCCCCAGAATGACGCCCCCCCCCGGAAGAATATCCCCCAGACAGGAAAACCTCCAGAAACACATTCTC